GGGTTTTAGGGTTTACGGCTTAGGGTCTAGGGTTTAGGGCAGACACGGCTAGGTAGGGTTTAGGGTTGGGTTTAGGCTTGTGATGTCGAATCCGGGTTCAGGGTTTAGGTCGATCGCTTCGGATTGAAGGGCTTTCGGCACCGAAGCCCACCCTAAACCATAAACCCCAAACCCTTAACCCTAAATCCCAAACCCTTAACCCTAAACCCTAAACCCTAAGCCGTGTGTGTGGTTCGGGCTCATGGCCTCTTCGGCGAGGAAGCTGTGGGGCCTTCACTACCTGAGCCCCCAACCCTCAAGGCCTCTAATGGTTTTGGGTTTAGGGTTTAGGCTTGAGGGTTTAAATAAGGGTTTAGGGTTTAGACCCCCCCATTCCAGGCCAATGCTCTCATCCTTACGCTGCGCACGAGTTGAGCGTGAACACTTAGGGCTTAGGGCTTCGAAGCGTAGCTGCGCCCCAAAATTCCAAAGCCTGCAGCCCAGAACACCAAAAAAAGCCCCGAGACGCTCAATAAAGCCCTGTGAAGACCAACTATGAAACCTAAGCGCTTGTCAAAGCCTCGAGTGTAATTCTTGATGCCAAACCCTGAATCCTACAGCACGAAGTAACCTCATGACCCCGCTAGCAATTTCGGGTTTTTAGTGCTTTAGGGTTTAGGGGTTTAGGGTTTGGCCATATGGTTAGTTCTCTAAGTTAGGGTCCCGTTTAGAGTCCTTTTTATAGCGGGTGCCGTACTATATCGGGGACCTAAAAGGGGACCCTAATCTAGAGAACTACCCATATACTCAAAGCTCCTGGCAATAAGGGCCGGGCTTGGCAACCCACCAGGAAAGCAAAGACGATAGCACAGGTCAGGACCTGCACAAGAATCTAGGGCTTGGAACTCAGGTAACATGGGGACCTGAATAAGTAGAACAGGCTTCTGGGGTGTATTTTGGTGTAGGTATAATCAAGAACCCTACGGAATAAGAACTAGTTGTTCATTACTCCGGCGGTTGATGATATAAATCCTGCATTACCCAAAATAAGGAATGTACCATAATTCCCATGGTTTCGGCTCCCTAAGGTGATACAGGATCTATTTCATCAACAGTATTCTGGCCGTAGGATCCAAGTGTAGGCTTAGGGTTGTAGTAGGGTTCTGTAAGTCGGCTTTAAGGTTAGGTTCAAACGTCGGGTTCGCGCTTCCGCTTTCTGGGTTTTAGGGCTTAGGCCCTAAACCCTAAACCCTAAACCCCAAGCCTTAGGGTTTCTGGGCACAAAGCTTTGTCGGAGTCTTTTCCCGCTGATGGGGCTTTCAGATTGCAGGGCCTGTCGTGCGCAAGGCTGGGGTGCTACGGTTGATGATATAAATCCTGCATGACCCATAACAAGGAATATACCATAATTCCCATAGCTTAGGGTCCTTAAGGTGATGGAGGATTTAGATCATCAACAGTATGTTGGGTTAGGTTGATCCCTCAACCCTAAACCCTGCAGTGAACCCCAGAAAAGTAGAACACTAAGCTAGGATGATGAGTGCTGGGATTCCCTATGCTTTACCTTAGGGCTCTAAACCCTGGACCCTAAACTTTAAAACCCTAAACCCTAAACTTTTCAGGGCATCCGGATAGCTTCTGCTACAAACCGATAGAGAACTGGGGACTCGGCTCTGGGATTCAAGTGCTCACTTTTTCAGGCTCTCGCTGGCAGTTCCCGGGCGGACGGCGGATTGATGCAACTCGGAAGCATGGAGGATGAGGGTGAAGAAGTCATGATGGTGCTGTTGCTGCCTTTGATGATGATGATGATGATGATGATGATGATGTTGAGGCTGATGATGCTGTTGATGATGATGATGATGATGGTGATGATGATGACGATGATGATGATGGTAGTCCTGCCACCTCTGCTGTTTATGGATTTCGAGAGTCTCGGGTTGGGGATTTGGGACTCTGATATGCAGGATATCGAAACCGGTGTAGTAACCCTTGCAATGCACATTTCGAAAACCTAGTGCCCTTAACTTAACTCTTACAGCGCTTATAGTGATAGTTATACGTAAACCTGACCCGCATGGCGACCATTACTTATCGTCTCGTGCGGTAGCATTCTTGTCACTTGTAGCGCTTGTATGGCATATCAAAGCTCCGAACCCTCAACCCTAAACTTTAAACCATAAACCCTAACCCCTAAACTTCAACACCTAATCCCTAAACCCTAAACTTTAAACCCCAAACCCTTAGCCCTAAACCTAAACTTTAAATCCTAAACTTTAATACCCTTAACTCTAAACCCCAAACCTTAAACTTTACACCCCAAACCTCAGAGCCGGGCCCCAAAGGTGGCCCCGGCGATGAAGATGCTGAGGCCGCCGTAACTCGGAGGCGAAAGGCAACATTTTCGGCTTTAGGGTTTCGGGATTTGGGGGGTTTGGGGGGTTGTAGGGTTTAGGGTTTTGGGCTTAGGGGGTTTGGGGTTTCGGGTTTGGGGGTTTTGGGTTTAGGGTTAGGGCTTTGGGGTTTTAGGGTTTAGGGTTTTAGGCCTTAGGGTTTAGGGGTTTGGGGGGTTTGGGGTTTTAGGGGTTTGGGGGTTTAGGGTTTAAGGTTTAGGGTTTTAGGGGTTAGGGATTTGGGGGGTTTGGGGTTTCAGGGTTTAGCGTTTAGGGTTTTAGGGTTTAGGGTTTAGAGGTTTGGGTGTGTGGGGTTTAGGGTTTTGGGCTTCGGCTTTAGGGTTTCGGGATTTGGCATTTGGGGGTTTAGGGTTTAGGGCTTTAGGGTTCAGGCGTTTCGGGATTTGGGGGGGGTTTTGGGGTTTAGGGTTTAGGAATTTGGAGGTTTAGGGCCTGGGCCTGGGGCTTGAGAGGCTCATAGGGCTCAAAAGCGCGAATGCATGGGGAACAGGATAAGTGCTGCTTTGGTATGGGTGTAACATAGGAACCTGATTAAGTAACCCAGGTCTTCATTAGGGTTCTTAGTATGAATCCTAATATTTTGGGTGCTGTAGGGGCCAAGGTTCTCTTAGTCAGCTGCCTACATTATAGAGAAGCAGATGGGTAGTTCTCTAAACTACCTAGGGTCCCTTTTCTTGATCCTCAACATCGTGTGGCACTCTAGAAAAGGGCCCACTCGACCCGAGCAGAGTGTTGAGATATGCCATACCGTACTCTAACCATGTCAAAAGGGGGGTTTAGGGTTTTAGGGTTTAGGGCTTAGGGTTTAGGAAGTGATACGGCCAAGTTTAAGTAGTTCAGAGTCAGCACCATCATTAAAGTCCTATATAGATGGTGCTCGCTGATTCAGCATTGTGTGGGCCACTCTGAGGCACGTTCACCCCTGAACGCCTGACTTCGGGTTCACTTCTTGGCTTGCCTAAACCCTAAACCCTCAACCCTAAACCGTACTTGGCTTGCCCGAAGCCCTGATGCTCAAAACTCCGTCGGATCTGGGCCGCAGCGCTCTGATGGGGCCGCAGAGCTGGAGTGCGCCTGCACATGATGTGTGGGGGGGGCTTTAGAATGATCAAGCCTTATAATCTATATTGATTGGACCGTTGCTATGAGTGTATACACTTATAAGATAACTAAATAGAATATATATATATATGTATTTTTTTTTAGTATAAGGAACTCCATAGGGAACAACATTGTTGATTAGATGTTCGGGCTTCTATATTAGAGCCCATTGCAAGTTCTACATCCAAACCAAGGCCCTCGTCAGCCAGAATCCGGTTACCTCCAGCCGATCTCAAGCCTCTGGAGTACGTGCGGTCACCGTGGGCGCCTTTCAGTGGCAAGCAGGTGCCACACTCGGACGCAAAGCGGACCTGCTTCTTCTCGATCTCAGTATTGTCCTTGATGTTGTCCAGCAGCATCTCACGCACGTGCCGGAGCTTGGCTCCCCATGCTGTCTCGCAAGAAGCCCAGATCTCCCCGGACAATTTCCGGATGCTCACAAGGGCACACACGCCACCCGTATTGTCCGTGCGGTCGCTTGATTGCACCGTCAGGGTCACTACTCGCGAGAGGACCTCCCGGACTAATACATTGAAGCGTCTGTGGGACAGCAGCCACTCTCTGATCGGACCTGTCGAGCTTGGCTACGGCTTCAGGTTTACAGAGCCTGAAAGGCTTTAGAGCTTCGGGCAAAAAAGGGTGTACGGGTACGGCTTCGGGTTGGTAGGGTTTGGGTTCCCCTAAACCCTAAACCCGAAATCTTAAACCCTAAACTGTATACACCCCAAACCCTAAACCCTAAACACAAAACTCTACACACCCCAAACCCTAAACCCTAAACACAAAACCTACACACCCCAAACCCTAAACCCCAAACACAAAACCCCAAACCCTAAACCCTACACCCTAAACCCTAAACCTGTTGATGACTGTCGGGCTGGCCAGTAGAAACGCTGTTCGGATTATCGTAGTCAGAGGGCACCGCATGAGACGACATGAGCACTTACGACCCTAGTCACCGCATCGGTCCACACTTTTTCACGACTTGAGCCATGTTGTCACACGTCCACAGTTCTTTGTGCAATCAAGAGCTTCAAACCACATGTGCGATCGGAACTTTACACTCCTCCTCACCTGATGAGTCATCACAGCTCAGCCAGGTGTTACTTCAAACAAAGGACGATCGCGATCGCAGTATTGACACACCCTATATGCCCTTGCAGGATTTGCTGCGTTCCGCTGTCCATGACATGTTGCACTGAGGTGTATGCGATCCCCATGCGGAGTAATGAAATAGGGTCCTTCAAAGCCTCTCAAACGTTCTGGGCCAAACATCATCCCATCGGTCTGAGTCCCCTTGTTGACCCTTTCCACCGCTGAACTTGACATTCTCGTAGGCGTCGTAGTCATCATCGTCCTAGATCTCAAACTCCTGCTTGGTGAAGGTGCCCTCGCAGCCCTGGGAGGGGTACTAGTAGTCCTGGATGTAGGCCCAGTGGAACTCGCTGCTCCACCAAAGGGGCTTGTAGGCGCCGCTTGTCTCTGGATCTCCTCCTGAACCGCAGCCTGAGCTCGATTCCGAAGTCGTTCCAACTTCTTCTTCTTCTTTTGGCACCCCATCCATTGACCACGTATGAAACTTAGACACTTTTTGATCCCTTCCCAAACCGCCACTCCTGCAAGGATACACACCACAATCATGCCGTAGAACTCCACAGAGCCATCCAGCGGAAGATCATCCTTGGTGCCCTCAGCACCACGAATAAGCATCAAGCACAGTATGACAAATAGCAACACGCCACTCGTAGTAGTTGCCCTCAGTGCCCTCATAGCCAATCCCGTGGTTTCGGCCCCATAAGGAACAATGCCCCAAAGGCATATCAACTCCTTGAACTTTGGCAAATCAAACCCCTTTGTTCCGATGTCCGCCTTCTGCATCGCGCCTGGCACATGAGAAATCACCAAACGCTGTAAGGCAACCTCCTGCCTCAAAAACCTTGCCCTCACCCTTAGGTGACGGGTCTTCCACGTGCCAGGTGCTTCTGAAGCTAGGCCTTGCGCAGCAGAATTGTCGATCCTCAAATGCATAACCGGGTTCGCACAGAGTTCCGTAATCATAGCAGCCACTCCTAAACCAAGCTGAACAGCAGCTACTCCCTCGTACAACTCCGCCTCCGCAACCGACAAGGTAATTATTGGTTGTTTCGACGCTCGCCATGCTACAGGCATCCCGCCGACCTGTGCCATGATACATCCAAAGCTTCGGCCCCCACCTGGGGCAAAACTTGCGTCGCTGTATACAACCAGTAGAGGATCGTCCCCACTGGCCTGGTACAAGAGCCCGTAGTCAGCCGTCTTGGAGAGATACTGCATGACCCTTTTACTAATCTCCAGCGCCCGCAACGGTTTCCTCAAAGCCTTGGACGCCATACAAGCCACTGAATGAGCCAGCTCTGGACGGCTCCGCGTTGAAAGCCATAGGGCCTCCCCAGTAGCCTTTTGTGCCATCCTCACTGTAGCTTCTTCCGGCTCTGCGCTTTCATCCTCTGTGTCCTCATCTTGCAACCATTCTCTGCTGCACGGCACCGTGAGTGGCTTCCCAGGCTGCTCCTCCACACCATGCTGTCGTAGAAGATCACGTACGTAACCGGCCTGGGACATATGAATACCTCCTCCTTGCAGCCGTAGTTCAACACCCAAGAACCTCAAAGCACCATCAGATAGCATCTCCAATGCCGAACACTTCCACTCAGCAATAAGCCACTTGTAAATACACTTGATGATGCCCGTCATCGAGAGTACCAGGATATCGTCGACATAGATTAACATCAGCCCGGCCGTTTCCTCGGGCTGATCCTCATAGCAAACTCTCCAAAGGTTCTCGTCCGTGTCCAGGTTGCATAGGATTAGCACTTTTCCTTCATAGTCAATGCGTGCTGACTGAAGTCGGTCGTTACGAAACAAACTCCACAGCCTTGGTGCTTCCCGAAGTCCGTACAAGACCCTTTCTATCTTCCACGTTTCCCCAGGCCTTGCTGCTCCAGCTAGCACCACAATTGACGGTGGTAGTACTCCATACAACAGGTTTTCTGGCATGGGCGCCAGGGTGAAGGCGTTGGAAATGTCCGTGCACCCAGCTGTCCACTGACGTAGGATTGCATACGCGATGCTCACGCGCAGGGTATCGGCCGATGTGCCGCTTGCGTAGACATTGTCCTGGCCATGTGGCAAGAAGTTGCCACATACCACCACCCTGCACTTCCTTCGGAACCACTCGCCACTTGTAGCGTCCGACGGGGGTTTTGCTGTGAATACTGCCTTTCCAGGCAGCACCTTAAGCCCACATGCCTTGAGCTCCCGGGTCTGCTCTGGTGAAAGTGGTCTTATTGTCCCGCTGCTGATCAAGGCGTCTACTTCTTTGCAAATCGACGCCACCCACTTGTCAACATTCTTCCTGACCTCCTGCAACGAAACATTGTGAACTACCTCTAGGGGTGCTTGTAGTGCTTGAAGTAGCGGCTCGACCTCGTAGTTTTTCGCCTCGCCTGGAGAAACTTTTGCAATCCTCCGTAGGGCTTGCCCATCTAGCTCTTGAAGATCTCGCTCACATACTTCCCGCGCATACTCCAATCGTTGTAGGTATTCGTCGCATTCTGGTAATTCCTGCACCACATCTTCAACCTCCTCCTGTAGAACACAACGTAGAACTCTGGCTCGATTCTCAAGCTCCTCCTCAAGCTGGCTCTCCTCAGAATCGAAACTATACCATCCATCACCATCAGACTCTTCTTCTTCATCAGGGGAATCAGGAGGAACCTCAACGCCAGTGCCACTCAACGGAAAACCACAGCTGCCAAGGATCTTCTGTGATGGCAACATCAACTTTTCGACTCCCAAGGGTGTAAATCCAACCAATACCCAACGTTCCACCTCCGGCTTCATGTAGGCATGCTCGCCCTTGGGATCAAACGCGATAGCTTTCTGGTTGATGTTGAAAAGTGTTCCATCAGCAACCCGACCATCCGGCAACTCTTGTTGTAGATCACGTGCATAGCCACCTCCACGGCATTCTCGAACATCACCTCGCCTAGAAACCCACAATCCACCTGACTGCGTTCCACCAATCTCAACGGCATAGTTGAGGGACATAGGTCTGTTGCGTTGATCACGATGAGGAGGGATATCCGCAGCTCGGAAAACACCAACTGTAGTCCACGCACCCTCTTCCCCAAGATCCTCTTTCACCCTCTTCCTCAGAACTGCATTGAGGTATCTCATGAGCCACGGGCGCTTTCTTCCCTGAGCAGATACTCCACGGATACCACCATGAACGTAGGCGCCCAAAATCATGGATGTAGCTTCTGTACCAGGACCCTGCGTTCTCATCCTTCCATCTATGCAAAGTTCTTGTAGTACTTCGCCACATGCTGAAAGATCAAACATGCCCTTCTCATAGAACTCCTTTGCTTTCGCTTCCTGTCTTTCCAACACTGTCATCATCGACCATTCCTCCTCATCTAAAACACTAGCCCCTTCATCTTCTAGCCGAAGTGCTCGTAGTTCAGGTGGTTTGTGTTTTCCTCTTAGTCGATGATCGGGTTCGGGGAGGTCAATGATTGCACTGTCAGCCTCCTCGATACCGCCTTCTTCTCCACCCTCAACAGGATCTTGTAGTAGACGCCGAGGATCAACAACGCCTGCTCGAAGGTTCAAAGTTTCCGTCAATATCCCGGTGGGCCTCAGCACAATTGCTCCTCCCTTGATCGTATCTGATAAACCCAGATAGATCCCTTGCTCCCACCGGTCCGTCAGGTCATACTTCTTGTTGTTGCCGAACACCTTTCTTCGAATCATAACTGTAGTTCCAAATGGCAACAAAGGTGGTTTGCTTAACCCCAGCTTGTAGTAGATCTGACGGTTCGACGCATGCTGCATTGCCAAAGTCCAATACTTCACCGCCACATTTGCTTCAGCCAACAGAACCTTGGCCTTGGTCTTGAACCAACGAACACCGCGCTCAGCTGCACCATTTGTTTGAGGGACCAAGGACTCCGAACGGGTATGAAAGATATCCCGCTCGAGTAGCCACTTTCGCAAACCCTTTGAGGCAAACTCCGATCCTCTGTCCGAATGCAGTCTTGCCACCGGAAAACCAAGCAACTTAAGTCTCAAGACCGCCTCTTGCACAGCCAACATCACATCACCGCCACGCCGATTCCGAACTGGATACACCATATAAATCGTCTCCATCTCCACAGGCTTCGTAAGGTCGCCGATCAGTGCCTCCCAAGATTTCTCATCCTTTTCAAGAACATCCTCCTCCTCCGCGACCTCAGCCTGGGAGATCTTGAAGGTTGTAGCTCCAGTCCATCGCTTATCCAGGCTTCGGGCACCAGATTGGTAACCATGCCAGTCTGAAGCTTCCATTTCCGCACCACCACCAACGTACTTCACTTCAGTGACACGCGTAGGCTCCAATTTGGCCGGTGGTACCGGACAACCGTTTGCCTTCGTAGGGCGGAAGAGTTGTAACCTTGTAGCCACATGATGCCGAACAAGTATTCCTTCAGCCTCCCGAAACTCCCACCAATCCTCCTTCGCCTTGCCGATCTTCTCTCCGACACTTGGGCTGGTAGTAGATGAAGTAGAGGCTCTTGTGTCCAAGTCCGGCAACTCCTCTGCTGCACCATTTTTCTCTTCTTCAAGCCCCAACTCACACTCCTCAGGAAACTCGACATCCATATCCACCTCCAATTCCCCTATACCCCCAGCTTCCTCCCTGGCCTTTGCATCCAGGTCCCAGCCCACCAACTCCTCCTCCTTGATCGGCTGGTCCTCAGGCATCATCTTCAACTTTGGGAACTGGTAAGTGAACACCACCGCGTACTTTTCCCCTTTAGGTCCTGCAACCCGAACCGGTCCCAGAGTGTCCGCGCTCAGCACATAGCAGTCCCGATGCAAACATTTCCGGTGGGGCCGTCCTGTGGAATTGTGAATGCACTGCAAACAATCTGCACGATGTGGTAGATGATCGTTTGCCAGGTGTTTTTCCCAGGCCTTGCGGTCCGCCGCCTTGAGTGCTCTAACCATCCTTGTATACCACCCAGGCCTCTGCTTCCACCGCTTCATTCCTTGCACCAATACTCTCACCATCATTGGCGCCCAGGACGCCCAGCAAACACCCTTTGTCGGCCACTCGGTGCGCCGATCTTGAGCTCCACGCAGCTCCACCACATCCAAATTCGTTGCCATAGTCGTAGGCCTGCGTAAGCTGTGTCCAAAAGCTCCCTGGTCAAAGTGCATCACATCCAAGAAACTATGCGCTATCCACTGCCTGAACCACTTGTGCAGCCATATTGTAGAGCTCTCATCTTCCTCCGACTGCGACGATGCCCACAAACACATAGCCACACCATCGTCAGGTACATCGGCCGCCTCACACATAACCCGACGACCAACTTTGGCAACCTCATTGACCACCACCACTCTCAGGGCGTGCTCGAAAGTGTTGCCCTTTGGTACTGCAGCAAAAGTTCCAGCAATCCTTCCCGTAGCCGCCCCCCATAACATAAGCGTCATAATCCCTTTGTTGGTGTTCAACATATCCAGCTGCGTCCATCTCATAACATCTATGTCTAGCACCATCGTTCCATTGTTCTCAAACATCTTGAACATCTTATCGACATAGGACCGCTTCCCGCTGTAGAACCGTACAATCCAGTCCTTGTGCATCATCCTTTTCCGCATTCTTCGATTGAAGCCCAGGGCCATCATAAGATCCCAAGCCTCCTTCTCGGTGCGCGGGATGTCAGAGATGGTCCTTACAAGGTCCTCATTCATCACGTCGGTAGCCCATGGCATAGACGAAATTGCACAATAGCCGTCCTCAAACTTTCCAAACTCCACATACTTCTTGAGGTTCTTCTCCCAGGCAGGGTCCTTTTCAACCTTCATCGCTCGGACCAACACGCGCTTTGAGTCCTCCATGGCCTTTTCAAGCCGGGTAAGCTTCTCTTGCTCGATCTTGGCGATGAGGTCCAGTGCCAGAGCCTCATTGACCTCTGGACACCCCGAAGTCATCTTCAACACTTCTTCCCGCCCATCAGGAGCCCTCAAAACGCACTTCTTCTTGGACCAAATAAGCTCGTAGCCCAGGAGCCCGATGAGGTTCCCAACCGGTACTATCGTCTGAGGTCGTCTTCCGGAGCCCTGAGGTTCAGTAAGTAACGTGCCCGCCGTGTTCTGTCTCATTGTCGTAACACCATCCCCCGCAATCACCACATCGACCTCCGGAGCCTCTGCCCACTCATCTGGTCGGGCTTCACGCAGCGGGTGCGTAGCACCCGAGTCCACAAGTGCCAACCTGTTCTCAAAGCGTCTGATTGCCTTCTTCAACATTTTCATGGACGGGCCCTGAGACTGCTGAGCACCCTGCTTTTCCGTCATCATCTTCAGGATTTGCGTGGCATTCTTTAGGAAGTCGTCAATCTCCCCGGCACTCCCCCTTGATCCCGAAGCCGTCGACGCTGTTGGAAAACCCGCCTCCGTTGTAGACCCCGTAGTAGCCGCCGAGGTGGTACTCGATGATTGCTGGGCTTCACCTCCAGGAGCTGTACCATCATCTCGCTTTCCATCTAAGCCCTTGTTCGTTGAAGCCATAGTTGCTCTCACTTTCGGTCCTGCGGCCCCTTTTCCTTCTTCACCTTTGCGACCACCATCAGAACTCACCCTCAAAGGACACTGTCTCTTCATATGTCCCTTGGCACCGCAGCTTTTGCAACGCTCAGACTTCTCCTCCTTAGGGATGTTCGCCCAGTCGTGCACAAACTTGCAGTTGAGCCGCTGGCAGCCACTCTCCTGGGCGAAGAACTTACACGGCCTAGCTGAACCCGAGGCCGATGGAGATGAGCCCCCCTTTTGTGTACTTGTAGGTGAGGTGCCTGCATCAGTCACTGCATTAGCCGCCCTCACAGCGGCTGCAGCCGTAGGACCGCCCTTGCCCCTGCCACGATAGGCCAGCTGCTCAAACTCCGCAAGGAGATGGCCATGAAACCGAAGCACTGCCGTCTTGGTAGGAGCAGCATCCAGATCCAAGGAAAACCTCAGCATGTTCGTCCTGAAGAAGATCTCGTTGTTCTTCTCCATCAAAGGTTTCGTTGCCACGTCGAGCCCTTTCAACAGAATCGATGCGTCAGGAGGTTGGAGTCCTAGATCTTCTGCACGCTTTAGCCACCTGGCCCACTTGCGTAGTATCTCAACCAGGTCCATGGGGCTGCCACCAACACCCGGGCTCTCAAGTGCTTTTAACACTTGTTGTCTTTCAACCGAACTCCCTGGCCTGTATATAGTGAGGATACGACCAAGGATCGCCAAGGTCGTTGACAAACGGTTTGCCATGAGCTCCGACTTGATCGCCTCCGGGACCGCCTGCAACAGCATTGATGCTGCCCGCTTATCGACTCTGCCCCAACGCTCTTCTCTAACTCCCGGACGCGCGAAGTCTTCGGCCTTCAACTGAACCTTTCTGACTGTGGTTGCGGCGAGGTACTCCTTGTAGTAGTCATCTAGACTTCTCATCACATCAGCCCACCATCCTCCGGAACCATCAGTAAGGTCCCCCATGGGACCCGTCAACCCGTGCAACCAGTCCCCAACATTGATCGCCGCATACTCATCCGCCTCCGGCAACTTAGGCAATTCGCTGCCTGTGATACCGGGCCTGATTGCTTCAGGCTTATTGCTCTGGCGATCCAGCTGCAACGTCATCGCCTGATGCAACTGCGACATTCCTTTGAGGAGTGCTTCCATGGGCGACGCCACGAGTCCTTCATCAAGCTTCGGTCTGTCATTCTTCAAACCTGCTTCGTTCTCACCCGCCTGGTTCTTTATGCCATCTCCAATACCCAACGGGTTCCATGTAGACGGACCAGAGGCACTTGACGCATACTGCTGCTTAAAGGGACCAGAGGCACTTGACGCATACTGCATATTAACATAATGACCCCCACGACGGCTGTGTCCTGAAAGTCCTGCTGGATTGCTGTTGGGTACTCGAAATTCCCCACATTCACCGTCACTTTCCTGAAAACTCACTCTCCCCCGAGGCTCACCTCCACGCTCTGGAAGTCCCGAAAGATTGCCTCCAGGTACATGAACGCTCTTGCCCCTCAAGCCCTCAACCTCACGATGCAACACATCCTTCATCGACATGCCCTCAAGGTTGTACGAAGCCACTTCAGCTCCCTCACTGATCCCTCCGCCGTGTCCCATAAGTCCTGCAGGATTGCCCTCCAAGCCTCCATGTAGTCGACCCTCTTCACCAGGTCGCTGATCATCATGGCCTGGGCGTCCTGCAAGATTGCCGCTGGGTACCTTGGCAAGATCAGAAAGTCCAGCTTGACCCCCGGGTTCACGGCTGTGTCCTGAAAGTCCTGTTGGATTGCTGTTGGGTACTCGAGATTCCAGGACTGTGAGGCCTGGCGGGGCCCCAATATCGCCATGAACCATTTCACTGCGCGTAGCTGTTCCGACCTCACCAGTGCCCGACCTCGCTGAAGCCTTCAACATCTCCAGTTCCTATCTCAGGCGCTGATTCTCATCCACCAACCCACGCTGGCTAACCATTGCAGCCTCAACTTGCTTCCGTACTTCCAGCTCCAACTGCTCCCTGGAATACGACCCCGAAGTTTCCGAGCTCGCTCCACCCGCAGCAGTGACTGTAGCACCATACAGCTGAGGCGCCTGTCCTTCAAGTTCCCGTAGTCGTCGTAGCTGCCTGCCAGAAAACAAAGGTTCACCCTCGCCCTCCACAGACCTCGCCCTGTTCGGCGACCACGTAGTTTCCTCAACCACAGTCGTGGCCTCTCCAGTTGGCCTAGTATGTGCCGTAGCTCTCCGCTGCACGTACTCTCCCAACTTGCTAAACCATCTCATTGCTGCCGCACCCTGCTGCATGAAGCCCAGCCCCGTAGTTCAGGCAACATCGCTAGGTTGTGACCCATCCATAGGTGACGGAAAAGGTGACGGTGGAAACAACTGCGCAGCTGCACTAGCCCTCATCGGCATCGTCAAAGAAGAAGTACTTGCAGTAGCATGCGGCAGTAACAACCTATCACCAATTTCCCCCTGTGCAGGAGCAGTCGCAGCAGCTTGAGTCTGCTCACCAGCTCTTACGTCCCGACGAACATCTGCTTGTATAGACGAACCAGACTGTTCTGATCCCATCTGCATAGCTGTCCCAAGGTCTTGTTCAATCCCAGCATCGTTACTTGCAGTCTCTGCCCGACGAGCCTGGGGAGGAACACCGTTAGGAAGAACAGCTGCAGGCCTGGCATCCGCAGGAGCGCCCCTTGGGCTCATAACCTGTTGATGACTGTCGGGCTGGCCAGTAGAAACGCTGTTCGGATTATCGTAGTCAGAGGGCACCGCATGAGACGACATGAGCACTTACGACCCTAGTCACCGCATCGGTCCACACTTTTTCACGACTTGAGCCATGTTGTCACACGTCCACAGTTCTTTGTGCAATCAAGAGCTTCAAACCACATGTGTGATCGGAACTTTACAAAACCCTACACCCTAAACCCTAAACCCTGCACCCCAAACCCTAAACCCTACACCCCAAACCCCAAGCCCAAAACCCTCAACACGAAAGAGTGACGCAGACCGAGAGCAGGCTCGGGCCGAGATGCCTTAAGTCCTGCACCCTAAATCCTACTTGGAGGTTCATGGGGTAGTTATAAGTATGGGTTTAGGGTTTAGGGTTTAAGGTTTAGGGTTTATAGGGTTTATAGGGTTTATAAGGCTTGTAGGGTTTAGGGTTTAGGGTATGGTTATAAGTCCCTAATATGGGTTAACTATAGTTACCGTACTTATAACCCCACTTATAACTACCCATGAACCTCCAAGTAAGGGCTCAAGTCCAAACCCCACCTGGGGATCCGAAAACCTGCCCGTTTTAAGGCCGCTTTAAGGGTTTAGGGTTTAAGGTTGATTAGGGGGTTCTACCCTCTAATTAAGGGGTCAGAACCTGTTGTTTTGTGGGGTTTGGGGTCACAGGTATAGGTCCTACACCCTAACGCCCAAACCCTCCTTAATTCCTAAAGCCCGTGGCCTAAACCCTAAGTTGCCCTACATCCTTTTTGAAGACTTCCTCCAGGGGATCTAACATGGGTGATACTTCCCCTAACCATAACAATGTAATTCCTACTATGGAAGCCTTACTTTCTACCTAGCATATTGGTACTGAAGACCCTAAACCCCAAACCCTAAA